TCTGACAGGAATCTCAGAACAGCCTGATTTGAGAAAGGGTCATTTAAAATAGGGATTTTAAAAAAAACACTGGGTGGATTTTTATCATTATAGGGTAGATGTGTACACACACTTCCAACATACATTTATGTTCAAACAACAACAAAAGTGAATTTTGCATCCGATGACCCCTTTAAGTCTCCTGACTTTTAATTGCAGACTTTGACAAATCCGAACACAGTTTGGGACAATATTTCTCATCAAATACTCCCAAAACCAATTTATATGGTATATGTGATCCATGTTCATTTTATTTCTCTATACTCAATTTCAGCTCTCATTGGTGTCTATTTTTATTAAATGAAGCATAAAAATGAAGCATAAGAAATGTAATTGATCAAATTAAGGCCCAGATGAAACAATTGAGAATTCAGTTTTATCTCCTAAATTACAAACGTTTACAACATGTTTAAATGTTTTTTTTTTTTAATAATTAAAGTTTAGTCTGACAGTTTCACATGTTTTCGCTAAAACGTCTGCAAAAGTGCATTAATATAGACTAATTTAGATGCCAAATTAATGAAAATGACATAAAAAAACGTTGTCATTTAAGGACAAAAAGTACTGAAAGTATGTGAAATCTGCCAGTGGGTGGAAAATCTTTCCCTCAAGACAGATGAGAGCAACTAGTGTACAACAAAACAGCTTTAGACATAGAGGGTCCATATACTGCCATGCTAAATAATAACATGGCACTTTACAATCATCAGTCACCACCCGCAGACACTCAGATACACACACCACACCGACTCCTCAACTCACTTGAGCTCTGGATAGACATTGTCCAGATACCACTTGAATGATTTGCACTTGAGACTCTTGCGGAGCTCCTGCCTACCGTGAATGCTGATAAGAGAGGAAGAGAATGAGCGGAATAAGAGATGAATCTTTTCCCTGATGCATCCCCATTATAGATACACACATAAACACACACATGCTATCAGTCACTCACTCTCCGTAGGATTTTCCCCTAGCAGCCGGTCGAGCTGAGTAGTAGAACAGTTTGAACTCATCCATCCAAACCTCAGCAGTTCTTCTGGTGTTTCTGAAACGGAAAGAGCATTGAATGTGAACACTGAAGTGTGCTATATGAAACACTTCACTCAAAGATACACAATTCAGCCTCAAGAAGATCATTAGGATGACCTGCCAATTCATCAGTACAGCTACTCAAAATATTGCTTGTACAGACAGGTACTGAACAGACTTGCAACTGTAATTCTGAAGAAAATCTGAGTGGAAAACTCGCTGCCACATGCTAGGGTGTTGTGGGTGTTTGTCAGGGCATTGCTATGTGTTTTTTTTAGCACACTGCTATGCATTTGCAAGGGTGTTCTGGGTGGTTCATACTGGCTAAAGTCAAAAGATCCTACATATGGCTCATGTCTCTCACCCGTAAGTGAGATTTATTTATTTTATACACATTAAAACTCCAATTGCTTAGAAAACTAACAGCACTTTTCTCCTCAACAAGCTGCACAGTTGAAGCTATCTTTCATGTCTATGGCACAAGCAGAGCAGGACGAATTACACAGCAAAGTGTAATACTAAGGGTTAGGGTTTATTACTTAAAGCAGTTACTGTGAATTTAATATCAAGATATTTTATATTTTGCAAACAATTTTAAGTGGAGTAGTGGAATTATAAGTGGAGAAAAAAAATTCCATGTACAGGCAGATATTAGTATTTAAAAAGCCTTTATTTGCTTCAACATTAAAAAGCACCTTTATATACTTTATATTTTATTTAGTTTTATGCAGTTATTAATTTAATTCAATTTATTTATTCATTTTTATTTAATCAGTAATTTAAATATTAAATAAAGGCATTGAAACATTTAAAAATAAATAAAGTAGCTTACACTGATTTGCCCGTAGTACATGATATTCAGAGGGAGTGGTGTTATATACATATCAAAAACTTGTTTCTGTATGAAAACTGGTCACATATTGCACATGTCTTGATTTGTCAAGACATCTTATTGCAGGTTATGCACAACAAACCACACAAAAACAAACCATATCTGATTGTTCCATATCTAACATAACTCTGCTAACAGACGTAAAAGGACACGGTTTTTAAGAGTATCTAGTAAAGTCAGCTAATGCCTTCAGCATTTATTCATTAGCACCTCTGAACTATATGAGGAAACAGATTTTGTTGACTGAGCACACTGCATAGCAATTCAGATTCAGAAAGAATGTTGTGCTATGCCCTTAATATTTCATATGGTTTCATGCTGAGGTTTTTCCCCGGAGGCGAAACGTGACAAAAGCAAACAAATTTTACACAGCAGATTTTCTTCCAGGCAGAAGTTGGAGTATTATCTCTATATTTGGCATGAAAAATCCGACAAATAACATAGAAAAACATTCAACAGAGACAAAAATAAAAAAGATTAACACATTCATATTTACAGGTTAACAACTCCCAAGGACAAAACAAGGTCTTCTGATGTTGATAAAAAGTGTTACATCCTTTATCAGCAGGAATATATTATTAAAAACTCAGCTGAATATGCTGGATATGAATTAATATTATAAGTATATGCACTTCTCAGGACACTTACTTTATGTAGGTGTTGGCATTGCCCTCTGGGAAGATGTAAGGATGTTTCTTGCGGAATACATGGCCGACCCTGCTACAGGGAATGATTTCTAGGCTTCCTCCACACATCCATACTCTAAAAGAAATCTCTAAAAACACAACACAATAAACACCAATCACAGTGTGCTATACAGTATTTTAATAACATTATGGCCTTAGAGAGTATACACTACCGAAAGTTTTAAGTCTGTATGATTTATTTATTTACCAAGGCTGCATTTATTTGATCACAAATAGAGTAAATAAATACAGTTAGTAAATTTTCAACATTATTACAATTTTTAAAAAATGTTATCTATTTAAATATATTTTAAAATGTATTTATATGATGACAAAACTGAATTTGCAGCGTCATTACTCCAGTCTTCAGTGTCACATGATCCTTCAGAAATCCTTCTAATATGCTGATTTGATGCTCAAGAAATATTTCTTATTAAGTATATTATCAATGTTGAACACAGTAGTATCACTTAATATTTTTGTGGAAACTGTGATACATTTCAAAAGAACAGCATTTATTTGAAATGGAAATCTTTTGTAACATTATAAATGTCTTTCCTGACACTTTTGATAAATTTAATGCATCATTGCTGAATAAAAGTATTAATTTCTTAAAAAAAACTAAAACCGTACTGACCTCAAACATTATATTACAGAAATGTATAAAATGCATGTCAATATTATGTCATGTAGAGTAAAATAACTTGCTGACGTGTACATGTGATTTACAGTAGCCCTCCTGGATACAACTTCACTCTCACGGCAAGAATTAGATCATACGGTTGAAATCCCCTGTCTAAATATGCCACTGCCCAATGCTCATTTGCAATTATGAGCATAGCAGCCTATTTAAGTCTGAATAAACCAGCCCTGCAACAGCTCCAGTCTAATTCTGTCACATATGCATGGTTAATGATGGTTTACCCAGCACAGAGAGAACCATCTAATTCCCCATAGTGCATTCCTCTTAAGAATTTCACAGAGCCAAGAAAAAAACCTTTAAATAAAGTGAAATAAATAAAGGAACCAAAACACGTTTTGAGAAAATTGATTTTCTAAGTTCAAATGTCATTGCGTGCCATTTCCTCTCTGTGATGAGACAACAACCCTAAGTTTCCTCTGTCTGAGCTTGATCGGGGGAAAAGAGTGATTGAGGTTTACGTGCTGTCAGAAAGGTGCTCTCATGCATAGTAATAACTCACCAAAGTTCTCCCCTCCCCAGATGTCCATGGCTGTGTCATATTTTCCCAAGCGATTGAACCAGGATCTGTCAATCACAAAAAGTCCTCCTGCAATGATGGGCGTTCTGAGGGTTGAAAGAGTGAAAAAAAGAGTGAACATTAAGTCTTGACACTAAACACTGCTTAAAATACTGCTGTCACCCAGGATTGAAAACATTTCCTCTTGAATGTGGTTTCGGTGAAGAGTCTTGGAACGAGGAAAGAGAATAAAAGGTCACTGAAGTGAGGGTGTGTGGAAACAGTACAGCTCAGTTCTCATTCTCCTGATGAAGCTCAGCTTGCCCTTCAAAATCACTGTACCCAGAGAGCTGCTTCAAACGCTAAGGACACTGGAGGAAATGGCTGTGGTATTATCGAAAGCATTTGAATTCCATCAGCAGTAATCTCTCATTGTGAAGAGGTGGAACACATTGTTTCATCTGCCACTCCACAGGGCCACTCATGTACTTTCATTTCAGATTCATTTACTTTTCACACATCTGTTCTCATCTCATTTTAGAAGGCAGAAACAATAAATAATGCAATAAAATAAATTTCTAGGAAAAAGGTATGCATACAATATATCAAATGTATATATTATTGCCAGGGTTGAAAGTATGTAGTAATCATTATCAGATTGCTTAGAAAAGTAATAGTGCACATCTCCTACATAATAGTGCACAAGTGGCATGACTGGAGTTGTCCTTAACACAAACATGTGGGAATGGTTATGAGTTTGAACAGATATTAATCCCAAGTATAAGCAGTATTAATAGTGATAATTGCTTTTTCAAACACCACTATAATAACTATCTTATGAGAGGCTCATATAGGAACTACTTTTAGTATCACCTAACCCACTATGGATTTTAACTGCACACCCCTGCTGCATTTACTCTACATACATACAGTATACAGTACATTAGCATTCAAAAGTTAGTAAGTTAGTAAAGAGTTAGTAAGTTTAAAAAAAAAAAAGAAATTACTACTACTGCTTTTATATAGCAAGGAGGCATTAAATTGATTTAAAAAGTAAGAGTAAAGACAGTTATAATGTTAAAAAAGATTTCTACTTTAATAAATGCTGATTTCTACTTTAATAAAAACCTTTCTATTCATCAGAGAATCTGGAAAAATATATATAACAAAAAGAAATGATTCTCCAGCAGTAAATCAGCTTATTAAAATGATTTCTGAAGGATCATGTAACACTGAAGACTGGAGTAATGATGCTGAAATTCAGCTTTGCCATCATAGGAATAAGTCATATTTGAAAATATCTAAATATAGAAAACAATTATTTTAAATGGTGATGTTATTTAACAATATTATGGTTTTTACTGCTTTGATCAAATAAATGCAGCCTTGGTAAGAAACTTCTTTCAGAAACATTTATAAAAATCTTACCGCCCCAAACTTTTGAATGCTTGTGTGTAACACGCTAGAAATATATACATTTTTTGGCATCTTGTCATTGTCATCCTGGAATGTTTACATGGGTACGTCTTCCAGCATGGTTCTTTAAGAAATGTAAAGCTACACACTGAATCAGCTAGGGTCAAAAGAATTGTTGCAAAACATATAACATGCCAGAAACATATTAATCATTGAAATAATGATCCAATCCTAGATTTCAGTATTTCAGTACTCACAAAAGTTCCAATTTCAAAATTACAGCACAAATATACAAAACCTCCTGCCAGCCAGGGAAACAACTGGCTGTCAGTCAGGGGTCATGTTTGTGCGGTCCCTCTCACATATCATCCTGAAATATACACCACTGCTTCCCATCTGCGTCCTCACATACACACAGCTTTCAGTGACTCAGTTATGACTGATCTATTCTGCATCTGTTGGCGGATGGGCTGCGAGAGACCCAGGCCGGCTGCAGTGCTGCACCGGTGCACAGCACACACAGGAGCAGACGGGATCTGACCCCTCTCAGCCTGACTGCCTGCTTATCTGAGTTATTAACAGCCTTCATTACAACAGCTTCTGAGAGCGCAAGGAACAGTGTGAATTACACCATAACAAGAGGAGAGAGAGAAAGACGATGGAGGAGGAGAAAAAAACAACCAGGATTTAAATGTTGAAGTTGCTTTGTTTATAATAATCAAAACTGATTAATTAAAGAACTTTATAGCAACTTAATATTTTAATTATGATATAATATTTCAATTCTTAATGATCAACCAAGCTGAACTTCCCAGTAGAAATCAATGCTTCAAATACCCTTTCTCTCTTCAAAGACAACACAAAATTAAAATACTATTTACGTTCTAATAAATGCCCATGGTCTAACTGGGAATGATTGATCAGTGCATGTTATTCATAAGAAAAAAATGGTTTAATCAAAATGTAGTAAATTTCTCCAGACCTAAAACATCTTATTTTTTTGTGTTACCAAGGCCGCATGTTGGAGGAAAACAATATCAACCAACCAGATTTTTATATTTTCTGGAGAAAACATGAGTGATTCTTGCCCTTGTAAAACTCGCCCCCGCGATGTAAGAGTAAAACAGGCTCCAATTTTCTCACTCTCTGCGTATGAGACTGCGCCAATTCTCACCAATCACAATATAATAACCATCAGACTGAAATTAAACTGTAAATGAAAATCAATCAGTACATTAAATTGAGACAGATTATTCACTTAATAAAATTTACATTTAATACAAAATAATTATAATCAAACATATCTCAAAAAAGACGAAACCCAATAAGTGAGTTTCTGCTAGGGTGTTGCTATGCAGCTTCTAAAGTATTCTGAGTGGTTTCGGCATGTTGTTTTGCAGTTGCTAGGGTGTTGTGAGTGTTTGCTAGGGCGTCTCCAGGTAACTGCTTACTGGTATAAGTTAAAAAAATAATGACCACCTCCAAGTTTCTATGACATTCTGGAACCTAGATATGGATCCCTCCTGCAATGATTTTGTATGTCTTTGTAGCATTTTAATTTAAAATAGAGTTTTACTATATTAATAATAATATAGAATAATATACAATTTTATATATAGAATTTTAAGATATTAATAATATATCAATTTAAATATGTTTAAGTCATCCTGTCGCTGTAAAAAAAAAAGATTTTTCAAAGTTGTAAATAAAACAAAGATTATTTGATTACATTTTACAAGTAAATACTTTTCAGTCTTTCTACTTCAAAATTTCATGCTCAATTCATTGCCATTTCTTGGTAATTAATTGTGAGGTTTACTAGGAATTTCTGAGTAAAAATTGTTTCTACACCAAATGTTTTTCGGCGTAGCTGAAAAGAGAACTCTAAGAACCACATTTCAAAATTCTCTGTGGATTTTAAACATGGTGCTCAAAGTCCAATAGGTGCTGGACCAAACCTCTGTCCTCATTTAGCAGAATAGTTTTTATAAAAGCCCTTCTGCTTCTCTTCACCTACTTAATAGGCTCTGCAGGGTCAGCTCTCTTGGCTCGCTTTTCAGCTGATAGTTGCTCCCATTTAAAATGTAAACTCCAGTCGAAGCCTGCAGCAGAGATAGAGGGAAGAAAGTCAGAGCGATCAATGAAGATCTTTTTGCTCTAATTTCTTGTAACTTTCATTTTTTTAATAAGTCATAATTATACACCGCAGTGGCGGTTATAATTAAAGTGTTCTGCCGATGACAGGCCAAGGCTTACATCACAGCTAATTGTTAGATTTGTTTCTGTGTGACACTGCTGATTGGGGACTGTGACCGACGCCCCTTGATGTCGGCAGTGGGACAGCGAATGAAGAATTATAATTGCAGCTTTTACCTCCTCGCAAGTCTGAGGAAGCGGCGACATAGGCAAACGTGTCCATATTAATGATGTCAATCACAGGGCTGGTGACACAGGTCGGGTCCTGAAAAATGAAAATATTACAAAATGAGACAAAAGAGCATAAGAGATTTAATAAGAAATGTGAACAGCTAGACTCTCTGTCTGTTCAGCTTGATTTCACAACAAAGGAGGTGGAAAATCAGCGAGCACTGGGATTATCTGTTACTAAGAGCGAGTGAATGTGCACACACTCTCGTCCAACATCATTACACCACTCTCTGACCTCATCGCTCAACTCTCTAATGCCACACAATACCGTCTTGCTGAAAGAAAAGAATACTTGAGATGTGTCAGCACTACTGGGTTTTCAAACTACTTCAACTTGCCTGTGAAATGCATATTGAAAAATGTGATTTTGTGAATTTTTTTTCTAGGTTAAAAAAACCCTTTTGAGTTAATGTCAGTAATGATTGTGAATAAAATCACCATTTTTTGTGGTGTAAAAGACCTTTTTATTTTTTACGATGTGTGCTGCTAGCAGTTTTATATGCACAAAATATGTCAAATACATTTTTTTTTCTCCAAAATATTTATTTAGTTGAAATCTGCTGCTAAAATATGTTAAATGAGTTCTGCTAGCAGACAGAACAAAGCATCAGGATATTCATGCATGTGCTTGGCAAGCGGTGCTGCATTCAGTGCCGCCTCTGTTCTGCCTGCTGACTCTCCAATTCATAATGAACTGAGAAAGGAGACAATTCCACAGAATCCAGGTAGAAGTGCTCAACAGCACAACAGTTGTAAAACTGTACCTCTTTGACCCTCTGCAGCAGTGGAGGCAGCCAATCTTTGTTGACCTCACAGTGACTGTCCAAAAAGGTCAGGATCCCGGCTCCTGCAGCGTCAGCCCCTCGAACCCTGGACCGGATCAGTCCTGCGACACACACACACACACACACACACATAGATAGATCAGAGACACGGAAGAATTCACTGTCCATCAGAGCTGCACATTACATCTGTTGAGAAGCCTGTTAAACTGACAAATATTCTCATCTCAGCAATCTCATTCACAGAAAAAGATATGAGAACAGCCATTTAAATCTGATTAGTTGAAGGGACAATTAAAGCCTTATGGTTATTATCGAAATCAGAGCAAGAAGCTTTTCCATGAAGGCAAATCTATTAAATCGGTAGAGCCTGACTGAAGATGCATAATAATTGTAAACGTGCAAGACTCGTGCAAAGTTTCATGCTGCACAGCAACTTCAGCCAATTAAAAATCCCATTTCATCCTCAATAAGGCTGTATTTTCCAGATGGGTGAGCACACCCTCTACAGAGTTGTTGAGAGCGGGATGTGTTTGTGTGTGCATGCATATTGGGCTGGTGTGGCCCCTCTGTGTATGCGCTGGGCAGATGGAGAAGGAAGAGAGAGTGAGAAAGACAGACAATGAAAGAGAGAGTGAGAGAGTGAGTGAATGGCAGAGATTACATTCACCTACAGCTAATAGAGTTAACATAGCAGAACCGCACACCCTGTTTGTAGCTCCGGGACGACAATAGAGTTTAAATGCCTTTAACAATTTTCTCTTGTACAGAGTTGGCTGCACAGGGGTTTTATGCATTAATCAATGCTGTCTAAGCGACAATGTGTGACAGTGTGTAATGGAACCTCGAAGTGTTGGAATAAACAGGGAGGGGGCAGCAACTGGCTGATCATTACTGGTAAGAACTTTGAATTTTTCTTGGCAATGATGACTGAACATTACATTATTATTCTAATTAATACTATCATTATTATTGGTGCTTGTTTATACTTTGGTTTAGGGAACAACCCCTAAGCCCTGATATTAAACTTTTGTGCATAACTAGCCAGGGACATGACTGATTAGCTCATTTGCAGCTTATTTAGAAGAGTTGTGCTATTACTTTTCTAAGCGATTGGACTTCGCCTGGCAGATGATGAAATTAGCAAATTTAGCTAATTAGCAAACAACAGAATTAAAATGCAGGAAGGAATCAAGCCTTATCTAGGGAGCAGAATATCATAGAGACTTTGATAGTGAACTTTTGACCACCTAGCAAACCCTCAGAACCAGTGTTGTTACCTAAAACTATAAAAAATTGTTCATGGTAATTAAAATAAAGCTGGAATAAAATAAAATAAAAATATTAGAAGAAAAAACTTGAACTTAAAAATTTCAGAAAACAAAAATTAAAAATGTTGCCTTGGAAACTAACTGAAGAAAGAACTGAATAACTTTATAAATAACTACGAACATAATTACAAATAAAACTAAAAAAATTATAAAATTAAAGCTATATAGAAATATTAAAAAATGACAAAAATATATAACAAATTACTAAAGCTTAAACTAAAATAAAACCTAAAAATATAAAAATAATGAAAAAGCTCAAAATACTCAGAACATTAATAAATACCATAATAGTATATAAATAACAACACCCTGCATCCATCCATAACACTGTGAAGAGTTGTATTGTTGCACAACGACCATGAGTTTTGAACGAGGAAGCCTTACTCATATTACCTTCAGAATGTATGAAAATCCAGTTATTAACGTCTGAATGCATTTTGTCCCAGTGACATTAACAGCATAGTGATAATAAACTAAATGAGAAATGTAAATACAAATTGGACATGGAAATGTATGTAAAGCTTGACCTGTTTAATTTACCAAAAAGGTAACCAGCCATAAAGATGACTTAACCTTTCAACATCCATAATGTTGTTAAACCATGCTAATGGGATTTCATTAAATATTAAGTGGGCATTTTAAACAAAGTCAATCTCTAAGGGCTCGGACAGCTATTCTGAACAATATCTGACAGAAAATCTGCCACAGGCTGTACAGCAGTGGCAAAATCAATATTTGCTATAACGGTTTAAGACCAATGTTTTCAGTTAGATGCACACCAAAATGCTCTGCTTATAAATGGATTTTTAAATTGTTTATTTTTTTTATCATGAGTGTAAATCTACGTCTATGCGAGCTGTTTGCAAACTAATCTATACTGCGTCACCCTCTAGATCCAATATATCTGTTCATCCGAACGGAAAGATACGGATGACAGTACGAGTGCATGGCAGCGAAGGATTTTCACCTGTGCAACCAGTACATGTAAGGAAGTGTGAAACACTGGACAGAGTTTCAGTCAATGTGCAGTAATCTTCCTCACAGTCTGTTCACCATCACCCTCCCAGTAACACACCACCTGCTGTTAAAACACTCACCAGCACACGGGCGAAAAGCAAACAGCTGCTTTTAGAGTCTGGATGGTATTACAAACAGGCGTGTTGCCAGCCCAAAACGAAATATTTAATTCATAGGGAGAGGGAGAGGGAGAGGGAGAGAGTGACAGAGACGTCGTCACTGGCCTACCTTCTCTGCGTTTATTGCGAAGACACTTTACTTTAGGCAACTTGGTGAGAAGAAGGCAGTCATTTGCTGAAAGGGAAAAAAAATATTTAAATGTATTTATTTATTTTAAATATTTATCAAATATATTACTTAAGAGTGCATTTATGACATTAGAATATGAATTTTTACTTTTAACATAGAAATTCAAATATGCTATAATGCACAATACTCACGATCATCGCTGAAATCGTCTACCAGTATGATCTCGTGAATCAGATGCACAGGAGTCCGATTCAACACACTGAAGAGAAACAGAATTAAAACTGTTAGAACTGCTGTACAGCAAAAAAATTGTAATTAATGTTTTTAGGCTGTAGGCTATAAAATGAATCTTTCTTGAGGTCTCTATCAGTATTATTGTTAACTAAAACTAACAAATTGTTTTCTGTAACTGAAATAAAATAAAATATTAGATTAAAAACTTAAACATAAAATACTTAAATGAAAATTAGAAATGCTACTTTGGCAACTAACAAAAATAAATTAGTTTAAGTACTGCAATTTACAAAAATAAAAGTGAAATAAAAATAAATTAAAGCTAAATACACATATTTAAAAAACTAATAAAAATAACAAAAGCATATAACAAAATCACTAAAACTTTAACAGAAACTAAAATGAAAACTTAAAATATAAAAAAATCTAAATATTAATAAACACTATAATTGCATATAAATAATACTAAAATACCACATGCCTACAAATATATTCATACACATTTTTATTTAAAATAAAATAACTATTTGCAAGGAAAAAAATTTATCAAGTACTTATCAAGTGCCCCTATTATGCCATTTTTTAAGGTTCCTAATATTTTTTTGGGAGTTTCTTACAAAAGGTTTACATGCATGCAAGGTCAAAAAACGCATTCGTTTTCTCAAAATATGCATTAAATATCACCTCATTTTTCAACAATTCTCAAACGATTTGTTTGAAGCAGTGGCGTAGCCACAGGTGTGTCAGGGTGTGCCGGTGCCACCCACAGTGACAGCTGGCACACCTAAAAGTAGATGCAGAATAATTTTTTATAGTTTTAATAAAAAAAAAAATTCTAAACTTGTGCTATTGTTGTTTACTTGCAATATTTGTTCATTTAAAATGTAATTAAAATTTTTAATTATTTTCATAAAAAAAATATATCTGCCAATGTTCGGACTGCCAACCAATCCGCAAACAGCCGCTGACTGTGACGTGTGACCCCAGCATCTTGGTAGACGTTTGCCACGCATTCTAAACAGTAGAGAATCTTTGACTGAACCTTGCTAGGCTAGCAATATGTCGCAGAGCTCCCTGCTTAATTTCTTTAGAAAAAACCTCGGCTTGATGGACAGCCGGACACAAGGCCTAATGTTACACCTGGTGAGGATGTTTCTCCCTCCCCGGGCCCGGCAGCAACAGGTGCAACTCCTCCGGCACAGTTGGCTGCGGAAAAAACTGCTGAATCAGAAGACACCGAAATGGCAAAAGTCTACTCATGTGATAAAGACGTATATAAATATAAATACGTATAACGTCTCTAGGTTACGTATGTAACCATGGTTCGCTTTCAGTCAGTCACTCTCGACGTCACGTCGGATGACCGACGAATTGGGATCTCGCTTAGAGAGACCAATCTACTTCGAGTGTAAACTAAACGAGCCAATGCACATTGGCATGCGATTATTGCATCCAGCTGCCGCTGATCACAGCTTGAGTATAAGTAGGCAGCAGATGCAGCGCATATTCAGCTTTTCGCTTCGGAGCCGAGCGATCACATCGTTCTGCTCCTGACTACTCTACTGAGACAAGAAGACTGAACGAGTTCAGCACGCTCTTGGAGAGCTCTTCGTGTTGGCGGTACGGCGCTTCAGCGCTGGTGGTTTCCCGTGTCGAGTGGGTTGCACACAACAGGCTGCACTACCCCCTGTGTGTGTTGCAGACGGCCATCTCCCCTGTGCGCTTCAGCACACT